TAGTGAATATTCCTTTTCAAAAAAATTTCAGGGTCAGATGAATCAACACGTGAATTCATCCAGCTGCGGTACAAACTTCGCCACCTTTTTAATGGGCGAAAACATCAGTGTGAAAAGGCTTATAGGTGTGAAGCTCAAGTTAATTCTCAAATGCATTTGTCGTGAATTCTCAAAAAAAGAAAGAAAAAAAAATGTACTGAATAAATGTGTATATATATATATATCAGTAAAGAGAGATGGCAAATGGATGCTTCATTCCACTTTTTTTTTTTTCTCTCTCTCTCTCTCTCTTTCTTTCAGTCGTATTGTTGAGGAACTTGGGCTAACAAATATTATAACACCAACCCAAGCCCGGAAAAAATGGTCCAATTTACTTCAGAAATATATGGTAAGTATATATAGCTATGTGTTTTATATTAGCAATATATTTGGTGATCACAGACTTTCAGTAGCCTTTTAATTGGTAATAATTTTTGTGCAGTTATTTCATAAGAATCACAAACATAAAATTCATACTTCATAAATGCCTTTTGTAGGACATTAAAGGAGGCTACTCAACAGCCAATGCAGACTGGCCATACTTCCAAATACTTGATCAAATTGTTCCTCTTATGAGGAAAGAGAAGATCGAGAAAGTTCCGCCAGCATCCGTTGACCACAGCGACATTGAAGCCGCTCAGGAGAGTCTGCAAAGCCCCTTAACCACCCCTGTTGTAGCTGCCAGAGATCCCCTTGGTGTGACGACAGTGGAATCGGTAATGGTGTCAGCTCAGCCTTCTACACCTTCAGGGGACCAGTGCAAGACAGAGACAGCTGATGGGGAGCCTCCAAGAAAAAGAGGGAGGTATGGCATATATCACAAGTATTTTCTGGGTATTTGGTGTTTATTTACAGGGATAAGTTTGAATACTGGATTATTTTCTTGGTAAGAATGATGTAAAAGCATTTGAGGATCTAACATGGCATGTTCACTTATTAGTATCTATATTTTAAGAGCTTTCTTATTCAGCTTCTACTTATTGATTATTCATTATTGATGCAACACATTTTGACCAACTCTATTTCTTTATCCTGTTTCTGCTGTTGTGGTAGGAGTCGCCGTGCAGCCCAACGAGCAAGGGATAGGTGGTGGGGAGCAGTGGAGGACGATGACATGGGCTCTGACTCAACAAGCTCGGCAGTCAAAGGGGAAATATCTGGTCTGCGAATGTCAAGCAAGTCATCTGTGAGTGAGAGCCTTGACCCTACGCAGATGGAGGTCCAGACTTTCCAGATGCTAGAATCTTGCTCTAATACCCTAGCAGACATCAGAGAGACACTGAAGATGCATGCTGAGCAACAGGAAAGCATCATGCAGGTTAGTGTGTAATAAAACAAGTTCTCCACATGTTTCTTTCTCTCTTTCTTTTCCTCCCTTTTCATTTGTGTCTTCTGTCATGCTTATGAATAAGTGAGACGTACTAATTACCATTCTTTTTTCCATAGAGCTTACAGCAGACAGTAGTGAGTCAGGGAAACACCATCAAGGAACTGCTGTCAACCATGACAAGCCAGAATGCAACACTGATTGCCCTCATGACACAGCTGTCAACAGGCGCTGCACCTCAGCTAGGTATTTATAATAATAGTTGTTAAGCATATAAAATTACATTGTTTTGATCATGAGGCAATTAGTGTCATAACATAGATATCATGAAACTAGATCCAGAGAACTCCCTTGGGTTGAGAAACATTGCAAATGAACTAAAAATGCAGGTAGGCCTAATATTGCATAGGATATTTATGAAGGATTTAATTTATCCACACTTAATATAACAAAAATACTTAATTGCATTAAAAGAGCTAAAAAAATAACCAATACTACATTTTTTTTTTTTTTTTTTTTTTTTTTTTTTTTTTTTTTTTTTTTTTTTTTTTTTTTTTTTTTCCTCTAGTGTTCTTTTGCCAGATGCAGTTGGAAACAAATTTTTTCCAGCCTTTAAATTAGTGGCTGGAAGAAGTACCTTTTCTTTTTTCAAAACAAACTTCAACATAGAATTGTTGAAATAATTTTCCTTCTACACTCCTCTCTAATTTTTCATCATTTCCAAACCATTCAGGCATAGCTAGTGGTAGTTTCAGCCAGCAGAAGCACCGAGAAACCCAGGCGTCTCACCCTCACCAGCAGAACCAGCTCCTCTCGTCGCAACAGAATATCATCAGCGCACTTTCCCATGAGACCCAAGACTGCGAGACTTCCCTAGTTGAGAATTCAGAATTGTCAGATGATATAACAGGCTTGTAGGGGTGGGAGGCCATGTTGGTTAGGAGTGTTATCAATTTTTCGTGCCTAATATTTAGGTGTATCATGTGGGTGATTACCCCTTGGTTTGTTGTTTGCATTCTCGAGATTTGTTATGGAAATTTTTTGGTATTATGTTTGGGTGAATGTGTGAACACTAATCAGTTCACATATCAAAATAGTGAGTGACAATGTACAAAACCTGATCTGAAAATAAATGCTTTATTTTGTCCCTTTTTTTGCCTTGATCCTTCATAATGTTCACTTCCTCTGTCTCTGGTTTCTGGCTTTGTCTCTGTCATAGTGCCCCAAGGTATATTTTTCTCTTAAATAATTCATCTAACAACTTCTAAACATTTCATAAATTGCCAGAACTTGCATATAAACATCTGGGTAATACCTTCAAATATCATATATTGTCATATAAAATGAGTACTTTCTATCTTTCATTTTATGCAACCAGGGATCATTCAATAATAGCAAGACCAGTATTTTTTTTTTTTCCATCATTTATGGTATCAGGGTCTTTTTTTGTTCTTATGTAGTAGCTTCTGTTTTCTACAGAAGGACTGTCCACATGATTGAGTATAACTAGGGAGGCATTGGTTCTTGAAAAGTGAGGACTAAGGACTATTCTATGATGGTGTAATGCTTTAAGGTAGGTAAGGGTATTTTATGAATCCTTTGGAATAATTTTGATGTTTAAAAAAAGAAAAAAATCTAGCATCTGGTCTACTATCATTTCTAGCGCATGAAAACTCATTAGACAATGATAGAGCTTTACATCACAGAAACCCTCACACAGGATAGGACTTTGGTTTTAGCAGGTGGAAACGGTTACCCCAAGTGGATGCCCTTCCTTTTAATCTCGGACCATTGGTGCAGGATTCAAACAAATGTGCGCTGGATGACCAACACTTCGGTTCCCAGCAGTGCACATTACCACTGCGCCACGGCAACTACCAATAACTCATTAGACAATATTCCTCAAAATTGTAGTACATGCACAAAGAATCTTACAATATATATAAACACATGTCTTTAGTGTGCCAGAGTTCGGGTAGAATTTCTGCAGGTTGGTAATATTCAGGCTTATGACTCTAATTTCTCAATCTCTTCTATAGGTTTGCCTACATCCTATCAACAGTATAAACCACAAGATCTACATTACATGGTCCATCTCTTGACAGTTTAATATTCCCTCTGGTAATGCAAATGGGCAGTATCTTCTGAAAAATATTTACTCAAGACACAATGGAAATAGCTAATGGTTAAATCAAATATAAGTGCTAGACATCATAGGTCATACAACACTAAAACTGTCATTGAAAAGCCACAGCAACCAGTGAATATACTTCAGAACTGAAATGAAGTGCCCATGCAGAAGGCATTAATTAATCTGAAGTCTACTATCCATTGATAGTTTAATACTGATTATAACACTATAAACTTTTATTTCCCATAACATTTGAAGTTTTAACCTTTCACACAGTCACTAAGTTAACCTCGGCTGAAGAAACTAGTTTTGTGTTTCTTCTTTATAAAAATATAATGCTGATGTAGTAACTCCTTTACTAATGATGTAATAGCTGAACTGCAAGGAATTAGTGAGAAAGGCACCATATTATATGACTGCAGAATCAGAGTAAATTTCACTAAGAAAAATTAACATGTAAAATATGAGCTTCAATAATGATGTTGGTAAACATTACCAGTGAAATATCTTATCATTCTTGCCTTTCAGTGTTTATTATTGTTACCAATCACTTGACCACAATTTTCTGGAAAAACAAAGGAAAACTAATTTAAGAATTTATTCATGTACAAATCCAAAAGTTAATACCAATTACATAAAATAAGCCAATTGAGACCTAATCGTACTCTATTCATCTGATTTACTTTTTGTCAAATATTCGGGGAGAATTAGTCTACACACAACCCAGACAAGAAAACCCAATACGCATTGCACCAGAAAAGATGTTGAACCTCTACAGAGTGAACTGCAGAAGGTCAAAATCCCTTCTGGGCAACAAAAACAACCATCTGACACAACTTTTAATTTTTTTAAAAATCTCATCTGTGATTCATTGATCTCATTCTATAAATTAAGATAAAATCACCCAAATTTGTTATTCAGTTTTAGAGGCAGTACTTTACGCCATAATTTTACCTTTAAAATTCAATATTCAAGGTTCTTACAATTTTCGTTAGCTAATGGACATTTCTATTTCATGGCAGAATGATTAAAAAGTTAAGTGTATAACATGGATCTCGACACTCACAAAAATCATTTCATTATTATTTAACTGAATAAATACATTTTATATATTTTATTTCATTTTCAAAAAACTTGGGAATATTTAAAGCACTTTGATTTATGCATCATCTTCATCTCCACTGACGATATGCTTAAAGGTGAGCGGAGTAAAAGCATAACCTTCTCCCTTGTAAAACTTGGACTGGAACTCCACCCTGGGAAAGAAAAAAATTGGATCATTCACTTCGGTGAGATAAATCTACCACACTCCACAATGCGACACATTCTCTCTTCATCCCCCCCCCAAATATATATATAATACTAATACTAATACTAATAATAATAATAATAATAATAATAAGTTATATATGCATCTCCCTCTCCCTATACATAGATAACATACTCTATATGACAGAATTAATAAAGACAAATAAATATTAAACAAATAAACAAATAAAATAAAGAATCTTACCAGTGAAGACGGAGTGTGTGGAGGAAAGCAGACAGACCTTCCATCAACACAAGGATACTTATGGTGAGGGCCGCCCATGCAGCGAAGATGAGATACAGCATGATGCTACCCGTATAAGAACTCTGACAATGGAAAGAGAAAAAGTTATTTGCAACAGTTACTATCCAATTTTCTTAGTTTACATACTATGTAAAATAATATATATATATTCAAAAAGACATTCTCCACTGTACATATTGTAGTGTTTAGTCATTTGAAATAACTATAAGACCACTTAGGACAACAAAATATTATAGCTTATCAGGTTTGAGTTAAATGATATTTCACATAAATCTGACACTTGTCAATCACACTCAACTAAGCCTATGTGAGAGAGGCAAGCAAGCTTCCTTTGAAAGATTCTAATACACCTCAAATGGGTTTCCTAAGCCTGGTAACTTACTTGTGAAAGACCAATTTTCATGACCATGTTCCACAACACCTCAGATAACTGGGCGTGGGCCAACGACAAAGCCCATAAACGGAGGTAAGAAGCAGTATGTGACACGGAGCCCAGAACAAACTCTATGGTGTGGATGGCTTGTTCGATAAACACCTCACTGAATTCGAACTCTTCTTCCTCTTCTCCATGTCCACTAGTCGTTGCTTCCCCACCCTGAAAACCATTCAAATATTAGAAATAATACAGAACAAGAATTGCACTTTACCCTTACTTCAACATCATAAATTTTCTAATCCATCATAATGAGGATCCTAAAAAAAAATTGCAACAAAAACAAAATAATGTTAACCAAAATGACAAATACTCACAAGCTCTCCATTCTGTGCAATAGCTTGCTGTTCATGATGCCTCTTCTTGGAATTGTGTAGGCTCTTCAGAATGAGAGGCTTTGGGAAGAGCATAAGTGGCACACAGATAATACACAACACCAGCAAGACGAGCTGTAAAATGTACTGACCCTCGAACATAAACACCTTGCATGGGGTTGTCGGGTCTTCCTGGAAGATACAAAAAGGAAAAAATAAATAAATAAGTAATCACCAACCAAAGCTTTTTTCAACATAAACCTATCTCAGTTAATAATGTATGTTTAAAATAAATGTTCAGCGAGGGAAGGGGGGGAGGAGGAGAAGAGAGAGAGGGAGAGGAGAGGGAGAGGAGAGGGAGAGGGAGAGAGGGAGAGAGGAGGGAGAGAGAGGAGAGGGAGAGAGAGGGAGAGGAGAGGGAGAGGGAGAGGGGAGAGGGAGAGGGAGAGGAGAGGGAGAGGAGAGGGAGAGGGAGAGGGAGGGGGCAATGGTTAGATGTAGACGCCCTTGCAATGTGTACTCACTTTTTCCTTTTTCAGTAACACCATGTTGATGAAAGTAATAAGGACAGAAGGGGCACAGAAGGAACTGCGTTCCTCACCAAACTCTGGACCAGCACCATACATTATCCACTTGATAAACACCATAATGCACAACCAGCCAAACATGCCAATGAGGAAGATCATTTGCGGAATAAACTCAAAGACCAAGCTGATGTAATTCCTGAAGAACCTGCAAGTAGAAAAGGAAAAAAAAAAAAAAGAACAATATAACAGCATGTAACAAAGGAGGCCATATACTTGACAGCCTCTGCATCAGATACATAGACAAAGAATTATGATGTTTTGACTGGTACTTGAAATCTGGATTTAGAATTTGACATGTTTACAAATCCCAGTATTTCCGGTAAGCAAGGGAAGCACAAATAACTTACGTGTGGTTATAGAGAGAAACTACAACACCAAAGATCATGTGAATCACACCAATGATGATTGAAATTTTCATTTTGTAGCTGTTTTGGAAAGCAATCTTGTTCACAGCAATCTGAAAGGTTACACATTACATTATTCAAGAGTCAGTCGCAGAGTATCTCTCATTTTTTAAAATCTGCATACAAAAATGGCAACATCAAGAGAACCATGGAAAACAATTACATCTCAGAACACCTCATTGGGACACGACACCTTCCAGAAGCTCTACACACCTGCCACATGGGATCGAACCCAAAGGGATAGGGCTTGCCACTGTATTCTTCGCGATTGGCGGGGTCCAATGTGAGCTCCTCCCAGTGTTCAAGGTTCTCAACGGTGGCATTGGAGTTGATGTGCCACGCTGATCCGAAGATGTTGAAGGACTTGGAGAAAACATCGTTGTAGATGATGCCAGTGTAGATGGAGAAGCAGGACATGAGCAGGATGATGTAGCGACCGCCAAAGAAGATGTTCCAGATCTAGAAAGAGAAGCAATTTAAGGGTTATTACATAATACTTACATGTATATAAATTCCCACAAGTGCAGAGCTATTTTCAAGTAGTATCATTAGTCTAACAGGAATTTATGCCTCGTACCTCCCCACTCATCTTCGCAGCAATCAGAGCCTTCTCCCTTATGACCATCCAGGCGGCAAAGGCCAACATCAGCACACCGTGTCCAGCATCACCGAACATAACCGCAAACAGGAATGGGAAGGTAGTG